GCTGAACACAGACCACAAAATTTCTCTTTATTTCTCTTGAAAAGCACTCTAGCTCAGAGAGAAGATGGGCTTGAAAAAAGAACAACAACTTAAAGACTCTCACCAATCTTGAGATAGGTAGCAGAAAGCAAGAGCCACTGGTGTCATTAGCAAAAATACCCTTTGATTTAAAAGGGCTAATACTTCACTCACAGTTCCAGTGCAGGAAAAATCCACCTCCAGTTCAGAAGTTTTTCCAGTGACTAAATGCCCTCGCTACAAAAAGGTTTTCCTTGCAGCATGAGACAATGGCTTAAAAGTACTATAAGTGCACTGGTCAAAAGTTCCCCAAACTTGTTGTTACGATTCTTTTTTTCTTTTCTTGCAGTCTATTAAAAGATGGGACTACAGTAGGCATCATGGCAGTATATGCAGGGCAATATATCTGCTTCTATGAGGAACAAATACCACTTTAAGTGATGAACTCCCAACAATACTGGCTAAACTGGAATTTGGAAAACTGAACTCCACCATCACTCCTGAAAGAACTCCCCTCCCCAGCCTCTACAGAGAGGTGTCAAATATCTCCATTTTATTTAGCTTTAAAGGTCAGTCCTCATTTAAGACTCAACTGCAGTCCCACTAAAACCTGGCTAGACTTTGGGTAATTATTTAGTCATTAAAAGAACTGTTCTTTTGCAGCATATTTTACAGTTTAACAGACTTAACATTGAAACAGTAGGACATCCAACACTTAAGTGCAAAGAGGTTTCTGTTCGAAAGTCTATGGCACATAGCCCTGAAAACATGTACTTTGCTCCCAAGTTCTTCACCTCTACCAAGGTGTCTTGTCCGAGTAAGATGCCTGAAGTAATTAAGGGATTAGTGACTACCTTCAGGGCACAGCCTTATTTTGCAAAAAGCAGCCAGGAGCTGTATGTTCCCAAAGGAGGGGGACGCTGAGAGGAATTCTCTTTTTCCCAAATACGATGAGGACGATACTACCATCCAAATGGATTTTAGCAGAATGGTAGTGTAATGGGGCAGTCAGGGAACAAGGCCATGGCATCCTTTAACCTGGCATGTACTTCCTGCCATCTATGGAGGGGCAATGTTTGTACCAGACCCTTGTTCTGAATACAGGAAAGAGAAAGCACACTCCCTCCACGCTCCCAGCTGTTTCCCGGGCATCTGTAAAAATGCCTGTCCCCATCCAGCCCCCTACAACTGTGGGTGTCAGTTTTACAGAAATAAATAACTAATAGGATATTTGAAAATGCTTTTAAACAATGAACTGAACAGAAAAAAGTTAAGAAATGACTGAATTCTTAACAACTTTTTACAGCCAGAGATGGCTATAAATCATACAATGAACAAGTGTGCACCTGGGAGGGAATTCTGTTTTCACAACATGCAAAACTGATTAAGTGGTAGCACTTTTTCTGAACACGTTTGCACACCTCATAGGGAAACACATTGTCTAATACTCTCAAACACTTCGTATTTCACCATTAAGCATTAAGCACATACAGAATTGAATAAGGAAAAAAACCCAACCAAACAAAAAGTATCAATAAACATAACAGATTGTAAAATCCATACAGACAAATGCAGTATTAAGTTGATCCTGACTTAATAAACTCTGCATGAAAAACACAAGTCAAGATTTGACTGAACTTCATGGACTTGAAGATTCATATATATAATTTTTTTAAGGGGGTGTGAGGCAGGATTGCCATCAGAAACTTGAAAATAAACCCAAAATGCAGTCCTCTTACCAACTACTGTCTGGGCCACTTAGGAGAGGGTAGGGTTGGTTATTTTTCCTCCTCAAGTGGAATTCTGTAAACATCACTTAGGACTACAGGAAATTTCCTTGAAATTCTAGATAACCCTTCTTATACTGCAACGGGAGAAAGGGGTGGCTGGAGTTAGGGGGAGAGCATCTGTTTATTCCTTCTGCCTCATGAATTGTCAGCACACACCTGGACACACCTAAGCTGGGTCACTGACAGCAAAGATATTTCTACGTAAGCCACGCAGAGCATACATATATTTGGGCAGGGTTCTGTTCTGTTACACCAGGGCTAAGTTCCAGATACTGAATTGCCCTCTAGGCAGAACAGTCCCCACCACACTCTGAAAGACTATCTCAAACAGATCTGACAGTTAATTGCTTTTACATGGTGTAACTAGGATCAGAGTCAGACCACCTAACTTCCAAATCCCCAGATTAGAACTGGATGTTCAATTCTTTGAATGGATCAGCTTGTGAAATGAATAGACAAGAATCCTGCTATCTCATTTTCGCATTTTAGAGTATTACCAGCTTTACCTTGCCTACCCTGAAGGCTCCAGTAAAGCCTCCAGGGGCTAAAGCGGGAAGGACAGACTCTAAAACATCTGCAAAATGTTGTAATGTTTTGTTAAAATAAAAGCTTCAGTGTTTACAGGCAAGAAAAGGTCTTCATTTTCTGCAGGATTCCACAGCTGCCAAGATGTCTTGCAAAATGCTGTTTCTGTTTTCCTTACTAACCTGGAAAGAGAAATTAAAACTGATGTAACTTGATGAATAACCTCTATATCAGTGTTTACTTCAAAAACAAACAAAGCAGAAATTCAAATGCATTTCTTTCTCAGTGGAGGAATGTTGAGTGTCAAACACCTGCCTTCTACTACTGAGAACACAATAAGCTAAACCCACAAACCTGCATATGTAATTGAATATTCAGTGATCTTTTTGATTTAATTACCCATGGTATTTAGCAGTATTCTTCAGGGCTTGAATAACTAACAAGAATCACTCGAAGAACCAGCATGTACTTTTGTCACTACTAGAAATCCTTTTCAATTACCAAATACAATTTTCCTACTATAAAGTGGAGTTCTTATGCCTTCAGTACTTGAAAGGGTTCTATTTGTTAGGATGACAGACCTAGTCAAAAACATCTGCAATGAAAAAAATTAAAACAGGCTTAGCAGCGCCAATCTGTATTCTTGCACTTGCTAGTCAGCTCAGCTCCCAGGTGCTGCAACGATAGAGCACAGAGCTGGCAGAGGGAGAGCGTGAGTGCACACGTGTGCGTAAATTACCCCTTCCTTGACAGACCAGGTTCCAATACAGAGCCCAGTGACCCAGAGTGCCATGTATTACTAACTCAACCAAAACCTGGGGAGATGGCTGGAGTGGTGAAAGGGTTAACACGCAATTGTGAAGTGTCAGCAAAAGCCACATTTTAAAAAGCCTAAGAAATTTTCCTCACTGTTCAGATCCCTGCAGAGAGGGCAGGAAGAAACCAGACAAAGACAGATGAGCCAAAAAAAAGTAAGGGCGTTCGTATTTTTAACAAAGTTTGAGAAATGCTGTTTGACAAGGAAGGAGAGACACCACACTATGCATGGCATAAAACTCACTACCAGCAAGGTTTCACTGCATTCCCTGGAGCCGCATTTAAGATCTGAGCACAAGGGTTTGTATCCCTTCCAGTACTACAGTCAATACTGAAGAATGTTGTTGTTTGTTTGTTTGTTTTTGAAATAGGTGACAGTCCTACCTGAAGAATTTGGCCCTAAGAGCCTACTGCTACTTACAGTCACAGACATCCTATCCAAACGCTGGAAACCAACTCTGTAAAACCGGGAGATGGTGGTCTCGCCTATGCCACTTGAATTCAAGAGAGCAGATCAACAACATGGGACTGATGAAAAAGTGACATTAAAAGAAAAGGAATGGAAGGGAACATCTGCCTGAAAATTTTGCTGTTTTTACTGAGTATCATTCCAAGCCTTTTATAAGATAAACAGAAAACCCCACAATAACAAAGAGAGCAAGACAACAAAGAATGGAATTGCTCTTCAGTAAGGCTATTGAGAGACCCCAAGGTAAACAAGGCACAGAGCATAGATCAGCCAAACTCTAAATCTCACAGCAAGTGTCCTGATATCCTGACTTTCAAAGGACCTTCTGAACATTTAATAGTTCTTCCCACTGTCTCACAGCCAACAAAAACAATACTACATTTTATCTACCCCTTTTCTATACCTACATGCCAGAAGTCCAGTGAGAGCAGCAGAGAGAAAGTGCCAAGTGCTGGGAAATTTTCACAACTGTTTTACAAAGGCTGCTTGATAGATATAAGTCTCCTCTTAAGATCTGGAGACATTCTGTGCAGGCAGCTTTCCCAGAGAGAACAAATTTCCCAGTATCTGTACTGAATGTACAAACAGATGGGTAGATTTTTAGACGGGGAGTTGAAAATAGCTGTAGATGCTGCTTACACTAAGCATTTAGGTAATTAAGAGGAAACTACCACCTAGACTCCAAGCAGGCAACAGTAGAGGACAAAAGCTTTCTTCCCCTAACTGTTGAAGTACTGTCAAGGAAACCCCTCTTCTACAGTCTGTTCAAATGGAACCTTTTCTTCTGCTGATTCACTTAACTATTTATTTTCTGTCTTAAAAGCCATATGCAACCAAACTTCACTAACGGCTTTCATGGAAGCAAAATTCATAGATGGGAAAATGGGAGAAAATTAATACGTGCCAGCTGCTAAGGATAATCTGATCCTATTTATGACACTGTGTCTGCAAAACTACACAAACCTAGGCAGTGCAAAAAGAGCCTCTGTAGTTTCACTGGAAAGTTTAGTTCTCAGCAAAATGGAATTGGGCAACAATGGAAAGAAATGTGTTAAATATCAGAGCTCCTATCGTTAAGTGCTCTAAACATAATAAATTAAACATTTGGGACCACATCCTCAACTACTTTTAGGGCATCTGGGCCCATTTACATGAACTGAATATGCTTTCAAGACAGAAGGGACTGTAAAGCCCCAAACAGCTGTCTCTATGCATTTAACGTCAAACATCAGAACCGTCCTTGCGACACTAAGAGAAGGATGAGAAAACTCTGCTGAGTTACTTGAACACAGCCTAACTCTGTATTAAGTGACAAAGCAGGCAGAACTTTTTTGGAAGGTAGCCACCTACTTCTGCACACTTCCAGGCACCATAAATTTAGTAAGAAATTACTGACCATGAGCTATTTGGGCACTCCAGGTTCTCCCAACGCCACAGCCCCTGAAGAACATAGCTGGTGATCCAGTATTTACTTCAGCTAGTAACACCTCTGACTCCCCACAGGCAGGTTCTGTTCCTGTTCATGCACACGTTTTAACTAGCTGGGAAAGAGCATGTAGTATGTCACTGGAGCAAGTGAGGCAGATGCTCTCCTGCACAAGACTTTAGCATAGCAGGTCTCTGCCTCCTGGGAACTACTGCAGTCTGTCACACATTTCACACCCATGCTTTTGGCTAACAGATTCACCACAGAACTCTATTTAAACAAAGAAACCTGCACATCCTAATCTCAGCAGCATGAACAGGATGGCTCATTCTTTTAGTAAAGGTTTTTTTAGCTAGAGAAAACATTGCTCCATTGAAATTTACACGAAGACTTTTGCTGGCTGTAGTCAGTACTTAAGAGAAAGATGTATCGGCAGACTGATACAGCTAACAACCCAGGGCTGAGCAGCGCGTGCCGTCAGAACGTCACCTGCTAAAAAGAGACAGCGGAAGCCTCAAAAGCTTCCTTGAAAAGCCAAATGCTGTTTTCTAGCACTCCGCTTCCTCCCGAGAGGACCAAATGCATGCTGTTGCCTTGCTGTGACTGCAGCCTAAGCACTGAATGAGTGCTACTTAGCGAGGCATTCTCCATTCCCTCTTCCGCAGTCCTACCACTGTAAAGCAAGTCACATAAAATTCACATTCACGTGCCTCCCTGTTCAGTAGCCTGACAACTAACACACATCAGCTTGTCAGTGGGAAACCTGGGGTTTTATCTCTGAAAGGAACGGTAGCAGTTGAATGCTTATGCGAGGAAAGGAATCTTCTCTCGTCATTGCTCCTAGGATTGCTTTAGCACTTAATTAAACAGGCATTTAATTTAAAAAACAGAAATTGATGATGATGATGGGACCACCAACTATAAGAAAGCTGAGCAACTTTTCTGAGCACTGCAGTTTTATTAATCTCACTTTGAAGAGGAAAAAAGAAGATGGAGGTTTTGCTTTCTCTGCAGTAATTAAGATCATTCAGTATAAAGTTGTTGATAGGGTTTTTTCCTTCCTCATTCACTTGGATGAAAACAAAGAAAGCATTCTCACTGTGATGTGCATCTGATAAAGAACAGGCTGCAACAGTATACTGCTCTATTTCATATTAACCCTGGTAGTAAGCCAGGATGTGTAAGTCCCACAGATGCACAGTTCAGTTTTGAATATATAGCTTTATTCTCTACTACAAATAGTACACACTGAGCAGAAAAATAAATCAAAGGAGTGGGAGCTGCATTTAGCTTGTTTTTGTGAAGCATCCAGGACACTTACAGATGTTAAGAAAACCTCACGCATGTACACCTGTGAATAGGCTATGTTTTGTTGTGGTAAGTTTCTGAGAACCTCCGTGTAACTGATGAGAAATGCACTTTGAGGCCCTAATATTCTGAAAATTATGTCTGCAAAAATAACATAATGAGCTCCAAAATTGGTTCACTGACTCAAGAGAAAGTACACTCCATTTACAAGTGTCTTTCTTCTAGAAATCATTTCTGCAAATTCCACTGTTGCCTTTTTTTTTTTCCCCCTGTTTTTTTCTTGAGTATGATTACTCATAACATTTCTGCAAGCCAGTCTGGAAAAAAAAAATTAAGAATCTGACTGTACTTTGAAAGATTTAACTCTCAGGAATAATGAATACTTATATAGCAATAATACTACAGCAAGAAAACCTTTTAAAACAACTACATCATTACTTCTACAGCCCCTCACAAGCAAAGCCAGCTGTGTGAGACTGCTACAGTAAGTGCCAAATGTGATTTTTTTTTTTTTAATAAGGTGAACACCTGCCCATTAAGAATAAAATGGAAACTAAAAAACTTATTTCATACAAGCTACCCATGGCTCACAATTGGTAATAACAATTAGTTTTTAAACAGAGCCAAATACAAACCAGCAACCTAAAACAGAAGGCTCTTTAAGGATATTAAATATTACTCACATTGAACACTTTAACATCTTTCCTACTTCTTATTTCTTCAACAAGATCCAGTGGCTTTCCCTTAGGTATTGGAATAGTTCCAAGTACCACGGTCCCCGAGCCAGTCAGCGTTTGACGAACAGCTTGAATAAAAGCCTGGCTGAAGAGTTCCATTTTACCAATCTCATCTATGACGCAAATTTTTTTCTCTGCATCACTGCCATGGTTTACCTGTGGAAAAGTGCATCAAGAGACTGTAAACAGCACAGAACTTAGAACAAGCAACAGAAGTAATTTCTATGCTAATAAATACCTCCAAAAGAAATGAATTCCATTGTAATACTGGGTAAAGTGGAAGAGTCAAAACTGCTGCTGGTAACTGACAGACTTATAAATCTATCATTTCTATTTCAGCACAGATTTCTGGAAAGACGAAGACATATGTACAGCATAAACACCAACTACAATAGGAAATATCCATAATATAAGTTTTCCTTCAAAGCAGAATTGTCACAATGGTCCCATACAAGCTTAATTTGACAATTAAGAACTGCACTTTGCCTACTAGCAGCTCTCAGTCAATCAAAGGGACACCAATTTTTCAAAACTTCACTCTTCCCATCAAATTACGCATTTAGAATACATCAATATCCAGACAACACAAGTATTAAAAAAAGACTTGCATTAAATCTAGATTTGGAAGTTTCTCCTCTTGTAGCTGGGTCAAAGGAGGGTCAAAACTAGCATTTCTCTCAGAATAACTAGCTTTCTTCAAAGCTATCTGCATAACAACCAAGCCATTTCCAAGTCTCTCTCACATCAGAACAGTCATCTTCCATTTCTTTGTCGAGATGTAGCTTATTCTATAGTCCTAGCCTTCCCCCAGATGGTAGGATAGGCACCATACTAACAATTAACCACATCTGTGGTTTGTTTGCTTTTTTCATTAAGTGAATACTGTGCCAAACAGTACCGTGCTGCAGACTGGTGTGAGCAGCAGGGAAGTTTAGAAGAGAACATGGGCAACTGCCACTGAGGGAAAGGCAACTCAGAAAGCGGAGTAACTATTCAACAGAAAAGGAAGTGCACTGCCTACCCTCTCTTAGTAAAAGTAACTGAGCCCTGTACTCCATTGTTTACAGAAGTGAGGAGGAAATCAACTCAAGTCAAAACATCACTGTTGATCCATGAATATATACCAATACCAGCCCTATTATACAGAACCTAAAAAAAATAAAAGGAAAAAAAATTGAAATGTTTTCCCTTGTGAAAGCAAAGTATTTGCTTCTGGGAAAGTGGAAGAACTATATAACATGCATCCTGAAACCTCTTCAAGCTAAGTCCCTGCTGAGTAGCTGTTTTATCTAAAATCCTTCAGTGAGCTAAAAAGCCAATACTAGTCACTAGGTCACACACTGAGAAACAGAGCATTTTGCCTTAGAAAAAAATCCTCAGTCCTGCCTGGTGAAGTTTCCAGAACCAGACCGATCATCCACTGTAGGATCTACCCCTGTTCACTGGAGTGAATGAGATCCAAGCCTTAAGAGCTGAAGCTGTCCTCAAGACTAAATAGGCACATGCCCACTCCGTGCTGCTCTCTGATCAAACCAGACCATACCTACGACTCTCCTGCCCTCATTCTTCATTTGTCTCTTCTTGTTTCAGTTCTATGATCTTCCTCACTCTCCTCCTCTCCCATTTTGTGCCACCTACATGCATGACCACATTCCCACAAAACTGATTAACAGCGCTTTCAACGAGAACAGAGTCATGCACTGTCCAACCCTGCTGGCCCCTTTTCTTCTTCTCTTCACTGTCTTGTACTTGCAGAAAGCTATATAACAACCAGAAAAATTCAACACTGCTAACACCCTTCTAGCAAGATCTCTCCCGGACTTCACATTAGTGCAGCAGTAAAAGGATTCCAAGTACAGCGCTAGCTTAATGAAAGTCTTTTTTATTAAACTATCCTATTTACTAATATAGTAAATCAAGTTACAGTGAAATTAAACGTATAAAAATTGTTCCATTTTATTCATATTTCCTTGCTCCCTTGTCCCCAACGTCTTTGCTTCCCTACTCTCAGACTGTAAAGTTCCTTGACAAAACAAGAATCAGATCTTCAATCTAATTTTTGCTCCTTGCACCTCTTTGAATTTTTGTTCTTTCGAAGTTCATTAAGAATTCCCTTCTTCCTTGGCCCCTCGAGCTTTGGCAGTGAGAAAAAACACAATAGGATTTTTTAGTAGTACAGTTCAGCAGCTGCTGCACACTGTTTGTGATACAATATTGCCAAAATCAGATCTGTTCTTGTTTAATTTTGAAGAGGGGAAAGATTGGAGTGAGAGAGGAAGGAGAAGGAAAAAGGCAGTAACAGAGTGTTAAGAGAAGGATAGGAAAAAGACTGTGTGGAAAGTCTCGTCACAGTCAGAACACTCCTTGTGCAGCAGGCCAAATCCCTAATTATCAGGCTGCTATTATCAGTTAAAATCCAGCAGTCTGCTGGTACTTACACAGTAGTAATCAAAAATAACCACTGGATTCAAGAAACAAATGCTTCTACTGGGAGAAGGTAGGAATCAGAGCAAGAGGGGGAAAAAAGGCTATAAAGAAGAAGAGCAGCAGTAAAAGCCTTTTTCTTGGATCCACTGACTCCACCCAGTTCTGCGTGGTAAGCCACTCGCACATTTTGTTTGCTTTCCAATATGCAAGACAGGGGCATAGAAAGAAACTTTCTATCTGCCATCTCTCAGGCCAAGAAGGTCCTGCTCACAGGACGTCAGATCAAGAATGAGAGGGGATTGCGATCTCTCCAACACCACAATAAGCACAAGAAAACAAGCCAGATTTGCCCCTCCAGCTTCCTGATCCTGAAGTCAATCAGAATCAGTGATACCCAAGAAACAGGCCATTTATTAATATAAAAAACTAGTGCTCTGGAAGGGCCTTCCAATAACACTGATTATCATAAAGCATCCATTTTCCAGCAGCTTTCATAGAATACTTACATTTCTCAGCATAGGTAGAACCAACTGCTCAAATGAAACAAGGTCTACAACATACTGTCCGACCCGATATTCACGTCTTGAAGTAGAAGAATCAGAACTGAATTTGAAAAAGAGATACACAATTCCTTCTAAGTAATGAGTTTAGTGAGAATTCACTGCAGTCATTTTAAGTGGATTTATGAGAAGTTATCCTAATAAGTCAAATCCCCTTAATGCTTCTAAGAAAAGGAAAGAAACTCTGAAAACCATTAAGTCATAATGCCGATAGCATACTTCCAGATAATAAATACACCATAAGCTAGCTTAACAACTACCTAAGCTCAAATTTGAACAGTGTACAGAAGGACAATGGGATCTAAAAGACAGCAGGTATATTTACACTGAAATCAAAACACATGCCTGCAGTTCAGATCTTTGAATTTGGCAACGTGACACTACAGACAGCACCACAGCAGTAGCCCAAAACTCAGTATGGATGCAAAACCCTTAAACAATCTTGGAAAAATACTCAGTTCGCACATGCTGCATCACACTATCCCAAGTGAACCTCTTTTATTAGCAGTATGCAAATTATTTAGTCAGATCAATTATGTCTGAATGAGGTGCTAACGTCACACCTGGACCTAGACTAAGTTTTGCACAAAGGGTGGAAAAACTAAGTCTAGTGAATCAGGAGAGACCGTGAGCCCCTCTGCACTTCAGAGACCCCCCTCTTAGCAGGGCCCTGAAACCCTCTTTTTCTTAAAATTCACATATGGTTTTTGTGGGCCAGTCAGTGACTCTTTAAAACAATGTTATATGCAATTTCCCTTTTATTTTTCATGCCTGTCTCTGTAAGTTAGCTGGTGGAAACAAAAAAATCTTCCTCCCTGCCTACAGTAAGCTACTTACTATACCCCAAAGAGACTTGGCCTTGCAACACAGCTCAGCAGTGCTTCCTCTCTATCTGGTATAAAATAGGCAGTAAGAGAGAACACCCTTCCCTAGCACATTTTCAACATTTCACTACGCAATAGAGGCACTGTCTACATACACTATACAGGTATCAGCCAGGACACAAGAACTGAACAAAGAACCTGACCATGAAAGCATACGTGTGCTGGAAATCACCTTCTGGAGGAGCATATAACATGCCGACAGACTGGAGCAGAAGCATAAAACAATAAGCCACTTACAGTTATTAAAACCTCAGTACCTGACTCTAGATAAAGGTCCTCGTTTCCCAGACAATGTGACAACATCAAATCCTGTTCTCCTCCCACCTTCTCTAACTTCCTCTGTGTAAAATCCATCAATGGGAATGCCCGAGGATTTTAGAGCTTGAGTGACTTTCTGGATCAAAGTAGTCTTTCCAACCCCTAAAAATAAATAGGAAACAAAAAGCACACAGGATTAATCTTCTTCTGCACTAAAAGCCCATTTTTAAACGCCACAGTAATGATTCA